CACCTGTAAGTCTTCTAGAACAAAATAGATAAGCAAGTTCTTATGCTTGAGAGGTTGCATTCGGGTGATCCACTTGGCCAACCCCAACATAATTGACCGGCCCAGATTCAATAAGAGTGGTTTTGGGTGTACAACCATGACAGGATCATACTTATTGGTATGTTCAAGGACAAAAGAAGAGCGCATGAAATGGAGATGGTGTATATGGGCAGGGTCTTAGAGTTCCACGCCACGATTAGGACGATGAAGTTCAAATATATGATGAGAAAAGTGCATGGAGCTTTTCTTTTAAAGGACCCTACAAGACAAGATTCTCCCTTTGGGGTGATAAATATAGGTTACATGTTATCGAGAATGACATACTGGAAATAGAGGATGACCGAGTTTACAAGAATTTTGAAGCTGAGTACATTATTATATCCACTGCAAAGTATGCTGCTGTCAATTTTGATATTTATCCCAACTATGCATGTTATGCAAACCGCAGCATAATGATGATAAAGCTCCTCTTTGATGGAAATAAACTCCCCACAAAGCCTCCAAGTGATCTAAAGCCCAAATATTACCATAAAACACAACAAAATAATACTCATGCCCCTTTAGAACCACCTAAAAAGTGCATATGGAACGGTCATAAAACTCTACCTCTTAATCTTTGAAAGAGTGCCCAACATAATAGCTAACCAATAATGTATAAACAACCTCATAAATCCCCCACAACTCCCATCGTACCCCGACGAGTCATCAAGATATAGCATGCACACACAACATAGTTCGATGTAAGAATAGCATGCACACACAACATAGTTCGATGTAAGAATGAGATTCAACTTATCACTAAATCAAGTGGCCTCTCATGCTTTGGATATTATTTAAAGGTCAACAATCCAAAGAGACATGTCTGCAAAATCAATGAGAACTTAAAAGTACCAAAGACGTATCTGAAGAAAACATACTCATGCAAAACTAGGGATAAGCTAGGTCCTCCCAACCAGAGCCCTGCATTGAGTATCCATACCCACACTCACCCATGTACCCACTCATATCCAATGGGTATGGGTGGGTATAGGTAATCTCATGGCCTTGTGGGTGGGTATGAGTGGGTACTCAACATCAGGGGATAAATCAATTTACATTGCTAATCACCGTATATTTTATAGTATTGAAATTCTCACTACGTAGTGTGCAGAACTTAACCGCGCTGCGACTACGATAAATTCTAATATGCGGCTTGAAAGTTTGTAATCAGAGCAAAGGGCAACAAGCCTCAAGGCCATCAGTCCATGGCAGACTACGTTCAAAAAGCATGGATAATGGGTGGGTATAAGTGGGTACGGCATCCCGAATGTCCCATGGGTGGGCGTGGGTGGGCGAAGCCCATCCAAGTAAAACATGGGTACCCAATGGTTACCCAACCAGGACCCCATGTAGAGCTTTGCTCCCAACACAACTGACCCCATGTAGGGCTTTGCTCCCAACACAAGACCCCATGTAGCGATTTGCTCCCAACATAATTGACCATCGAATAACAATGACAAAGCTGCTCTTTAATGAAAATAAACTCCTCATAAGACCTCCCTATTATCAATCTAATAAGTTCCTCTAGTCCAACCAAAAAATATATGTATGTGGAAGGGTCTTAAAACTCCACCCCATAACAAATAAAGGAGTCCTCCTATAGCTAAACAATGAGGTGTGCACTATCTCAAAAATCCCCAACAACTCCAACAAAAATATACTGGTAAGTTATTATTAACATGTGGCGTCTTCACATGATATGGCTTGGAGCAAGAACATGGATTTTACCTATAACTGAATCACATGGCCAATCTATGGCACACCCTAATATAGCAATCAATGCCCAAACAGTTAAAACTCGACTCTTCCCTCACCGACATCAATGGTAGTTTGAAGGATGTCAATACTCCCTAAAGTCCAATCTAAAGAAAAATAGTATCAATGATAGGCCCTGCTCTATCTCTACATCCAAGTCAAATGTAGGCAAAACAATAGCATGAGGAAAGATGTCATGCTATGTGTCACTACCCATTGCATCTCATGTTGCCACTCTATCAAATATTTAATCTCGGCAAGATTTGGATGATAATGAGAGTTGATCCTAGCCCATATAGAGTTCTCAGTATGCTCAACCTAAGCCAAGCCCTCTAATATCTCCCAACAGTTATCCGCACAAAAAAAAAGCAACCAAAGTCAATCAAACTATAAAGAGAAAGCAAACTGGCAAAAGAAACACAACAACCTTCAATGGCAATGAATATGTTGTTCTACAACTATCCTAGAACAACTGCACTACATTCATTGGAAAGAATTTATCGCCCTCTAAAAAGTTTTTAAGATAGGAGTAGCCTAATTACCAATAGGTTTAACACAAGCTTATATACCAGTAAGGGGTACACACCAACAACTCTATAAGAGATTATTTATGGCAGGTCTCAAAATATGCCAGTAGTTATTTCCTTACGACTCTCAACCTGAAGGATCAATAAATTTATTCAGTCAACTCTAACTCCACAGATCAAAACATTTGACAACTTTAGCCTTATCGGTGAAATAATAACTTGAGTTCATGATTATGTGCGAAAAGATGGCAAATGTCTATTTTCACCATATTCATCTATACGTGGTTTGAACTCTTATAGATGGAATGCTCACTTTCGCTCTAAAGCATACCTTTTATATGTAGGAATGGATCTTCAAGTGAATCGATTTTATTCACCACCAACATGCCATTTTCAATAATTCAAGCATAGGTTAATGCCTTTTTTATTGCCCCTGACTCAATGTCACACCCTGTGTCTAAAAAGTGATACAACAGGATATATATGCATCATAGTGAACAAATGAGGTAAAATAAAGAGTCAATTCATTAAAAAAGGTTTAAACAACTAATACAACCAAATAATAATAGTTCTTATACAAACCAACAAGAATATAAATAGAACAAAAAGCATGAAAGAAAATATCCAACTCTTAGAATCATAAGCATAATAAACTACTACAAAATAGTAAATACCAAAAACAATCTACTACAAGTGACTTTGCTCCTGAGGTGGTAGTCCATCAAACACTCCTACAGGACCAGCTGAAAAAGACAATTCTAGCAAACTATAACTCGCAATATCAAGTAACTCCTATCTATCAAAGCATAAATATAATTAGTTATTCATGCCAAATTATTACAATGTTTACAAATGCACCATACTATATATATCCTTGTACCTTCTAATGACCTATAAGTCATTTATTTATATATATATATATATATATATGAGAATTTAACTTCTAACATAGCACAATGGAGAAAAAAGATTTATGTAGTCAAACCCACAGCGGGATAAAGGCTTAATGTTGTTGTTATTTGTTATATATAGTTGTCGGTTTATCATATACTCATCACCTAGAAGATAAACACCAACCCAATCCAGTGATTTCCTATAGAGTTGTCACTCTGGGGCCTGTCGACCCCAACTAGCCAAAAACCAATAAGGTTCTGCCGACATACATACAATCATACAAGACAAATACTTTTATGAAAAACTATGAGATGTTATATAATCAACATGTTAGGTATGATGTGTATAATTGCTATAATTTGCACGAATGAGATTAATTTTATTCAACAAAGCTAAATTGTATAAATTTAACTTTTCCAACATATCAAATTAACTTACATGAATAAGAACTAATGGGCAATAATGCATTATCTGTATGATTGGATGTCAAAAATATGCTGCTTCTTTTGTGAATCTTCCTATATTTGACTATCTGTTGCCTTTTGCTTTCTAGCAGATTTTTCTTCATAAGCATTTATATCTATCTTTGCGTGAATTGCTCAATCAACTAGCTCCCTAAATGTAGTGCATCTAATAGTAGATAGGGATCTCCTGATGTCTTCTCTCAGACCGAACAGGAAATTGTAGATTTTCTAATCTTTGTGCTGCCCAATAGATGGTACAAATTTGACAATTCTAGCAAACTACAACTCGCACTCCCAAACTGATTTCATCCCCTGCTCGAGCATCCTCAAATCATTAATCAGCTTTGATCGGTCCGCCATATAAAAATATTGCTCCAAAAATAATCTTTCAGATTCTGCACAAGGAATTACTGCATATGCACCAAAGCTATTGCGTCAAATGCTCTCCCACCAGTCATCAGAACCTTCACGCAATTGAAATACAGCGTCTACCTTTCGATCTTCCAGACATTTAATGCCATGAAGTCTCTTTTCTATGTCATCAATCCAAGCATCAGATTCGATAGGTCCAACTATCCCATTGAATGTTGGATGGTGAGTCTTTAAGAACCGATCCATCACCCAATATATTGCCCCTTCATTGATTAGAAGGACCTATAGCATAGAAGTTAGTTTAAATAATTAAGTCTACTAATATTAAATATTTCACTTAATTTCTTCAACTTTGATTGGTTTTCCTAAGTTGGGGCAACATCAGGTTGGGGCAATAATGCGAGTGCTAGCTAAATTAGTTGTGGTACCTGCTGAATGACTTGACTAATTCCTTATACTGCTTGAGTAAGTTGAGCGGTCACCTCTGTCATCATCGTGATTAACATAGAGATATCCGAATTTTGAGCAACAATAACTTGACAACTAGGAGAGCGAGGTTCTCCAGGAATAGGTGTGGCTTCCTCAGTAGTTCTCGTGGCAGCAGCATTCTTTCTCCTTCGCACCGTTCTGAATTATTAAGCATAACAAAATATGATAATATATTATATCAAAGATATCATTTATCATTAAGGATAAGATAATCTAACCCACTACCCAATCCTAAGGAACCAAGGGATATCAAATACAAAATAGAATAGGCTTTGATACCACTATCACATCTCGGGTTTGGAAAGTGGTACACCACGGCAACGCGAGATGCAATAAAGGAATAGGAAAACATGTTTTGTATTTACAAAAAGAAGCATACATATACAAAAAATATATATGCATCATAGTAAACAAAAAGAAGTGAAATAAAGTGTCAATTCATTAATAGAAGTTCAAATAACTAATACATACAAATAACGGTAATTCTAATACAAACCAACATGAATATAAATAAAATAAAAAACATGAAAGAAATTACCCAGCCCTCAAAATTATAAACATAATAAACTACTACAAAATAATAAATACCAAACACAATCTACTGCTGGTAAACCTGCTCCTGAAGTGGTGGTCAACCAAACACATATGTAAAACCTGTTAAAAAAGACAACGGGTGAGTTTGATAAATCATACTCAGTAAAGAACTCCTATCTATTAAAGCATAAATGGCAAAGGAATTAGGCATGCAACATAAACAATCAAAAGAAAATAGTAATCTATAATCACACTATCAAAAACGGTCATGAGATATGATATATTTTCTACATCTTCTAATATGCTTATTGATGCCAAATTATTACAATGTTTATAAACGCACCACACTAGATATCCTTATACCTCACAATGACTTGTAACACATCTTATTTCCATTTCATATCCACTTATATTTTTCTTGCATATATAGTACTTGTCGGTTTATCATATACCCATCACCAGGAAGATAAACATCAACCCAAGGAAATCCAGTAATGTTTTATAGAGTCGTCACTCTGGGGGTCTGTCGACCCCGGCTAATCAAAAATCAATAGAGTTCTACTGACATACATACAATCATACATGAAGTATTTTTTGTGAATAAACAAGAGATATTATATAATTAACATGTTAGGTACATTGTTTAAAATTACGCAATATGAGGCCCGCCTAAGCGCAATTCCAGTCAAAAACGCCTCGAGTTTTTTTTTTTTTATGAGGCTTGCGCCAACTTGATTGAGGCCCGCCTTAAGATGCGCCTCACCTTGCCGGCATGAGGCTTATATATATATAAAGCAATGCCCCAACAAATAATACCTTTATGCACCCCTGAGTCGCAACAACTTTCTCTTGATTGCCTCAACCTCCAGCTGTCACCTTCGCCACCACCACCACCATCATAACCGTCATTAAGGATCACTTGAAAGCTGCACACCACCACCAGCTCCTTTAAAAATTTTGGAGTATTAATCTCATCTTTTTATTGATGAAAAATATTTATCAAAGAGAAAGATGCCTGAAATAAATGAATAAGAAGTATATTGGAAGGCATTGGACTTCACAGGATGAGACCGAAGAAAGACCAATTTATCATAATAATAACTCAAATAAAATCCCCTCAGTTATGACGGCATACATAATTTTCTAGTTGTTGACAACTATTTTAGCCTTCTTTAGAAATTAAATGTAGATGAGTAGGGAACTGAGAAAGAAAGAATTGAAGAACTTAATGTTATATGATACTTTTATGTAGTTTCTGTATTTAAAATTTTTTGCTCATGTAATATTGTATTTCAATTATATTTCATACAATTTATTACTAGCGACTTTACATCTTGTCCAAATATATATGTCAATGTGTTATTCCATATTAATAGAAAGATAATATATCATCTTTTAACATATTATTTGTGTATTACATGAAAATCACATTTAACATTTATTTGCACTTTACACAATTTATTATGTTGATGCTCACATGCCTCAAAACGCCTTGAGGCTTACGCCACGCCTCACGAACAAAAAACACCTCGATACCCAATTATTCAATTTTAAGCATTGGTTAGGTATGATTTCTATAATTGCTATGATTTGCATAAATGAGATTAATTTTATTCAACAAAGCTAAATTGCATAAATTTAACTTTTCCAATGTATAAATTTAACTTGCATGAAGAAAAACTAATGAGCAATAAATCAAGATAAAGCTATGGTTATCACATGATGATTCGTTATGAACAAAAACAAAGATTTATTATATGTAATAGTGCTAAATAATTCAAAATAGAACTAGCAATCTAAGTAGCTAAAAGAGAACCTACTATCATTGGCACGGATTACACCCCAACTAAGAATGGTACGTTTACACAAAAACATATAATATTACTTACCTCTAGGCGAGTGACACAAAGCCCAAAGCCCAAACGATATTTAACCGACCACACCTCGAGGATAGACTCAAAAAGTCCTACAAATAATAAATCCTAATTTAACATTCAAAATGACGCTAAAGGGAACACATGCTTGAAACATAGAACTTATAAATCATACCTAAAATACATTAGATATTCATAATCATGCCAGTAAAATTCATGCCAATAACAACGAAGTTTGAAAATATCCAAGATAAAATAGGGTTAGATCAACTCGAACATCAAACATGTATAAAACTTCTTCCTAAAGCAAGCTAAACCAATTAAATAAAAATAAAACTAAAATAAAATATCCACTAAACTAAAACTAATTAAATGAAGGGGAAAAATATGATTATACAACTTGATAAACACTAAGAAGAAAATAAAAGAGAGGGAGGAAGGAAGAGAAGATGAAGGAGGTTACTATTGAAGGACAAAAATAAGATTGTGAAGAAGATGCTTGGTGATTTCACCAATCAATCAAACGACGGTTGCTGCGAGGAGGACAAAAGAGGATTTCGGCTGCTGCTGCGAGGGAGAAAAGAGGAGTTGAATGATGCCCTAGATTATATTTCATCTTAAATGGAGAGAGCATCGGGAAAAATCACAAGAGGCAGCGAAAGAATCGCGTGATTTGCGCGATTGGAAAGAGCGGTTCGACTGGCTCGCGTGTGAAAGAAGCGAGGGAGGCATGGGAGGGAGTTTGGTTCGTGCGGCTCCAACTTGACAAATGAAATGCCTAGACCGGCCAATCCAACCTTAGATATTACACTCAGTGCCACATGAAATTAATAGTAAAATTTGAGTGAAATGTGGCTTCTTTAAATAAAAGTACTATTAAAACATCACTAGCATATTGTTAAGTCATTGGATGAAATGAAAACTTAAATCCATTCCTAACTTAAGAAAATTAAATACATAAAATAACCACGTAAAGAAAATATTAACTATGCCATATAAATTATAGACTTTTGGGTTAAGTTTGGACCTGTCCAATGGAATACAAACAAGAACTACATGAATCCATAACAACTATAATTAAAAGCTTCAAATGCCTAATTATCAAGGATGGAGTGAACAAAATATGAACAAAACTCTATAATGGCACTCCTACAATGAGTAAAATGCGTACTTGGGACTTAAAACCATAACATGTCATCATCAACTAGAGAGAGATTGCTCACTGCATGAGCTAGGAGACTTATGAATGACTTATTAGTAACTTTTTATAATAAATCTTGTATAGTATCAAACCTGAGAGTTGGTTTAATAGATTTCTATGTTGTTGGCCTAAACTTTACATGATTGAGGATTTATGAAAAGTTTCAATAATCAGATGTAAATAGGATTGTTACCTCTAAATGAGCCATCATCAGAGGAAGTTCCGTTAAGCTATATTATATCATGTCTAGTAATCTCTCATCCTTTCATCTATCACTAGAATTTCCTTTGGCAGAAGATCACGTTATGGAACTAGGAAGCGCCAAGACTTGACCAGTGTTTTATGTATTTGGAAACCTTATGGAGGAAATATGCCATGCCTATGAGAGGTTTCTTAAAAACAAAACTCTTAAAGGATATCCCTCAAATCAATAGGGAACACTATTTTTCCAATAGAAGGATCAACACTGATGAATTGACTGAATAAATCTGATGATATCATCGGAAAGATTTATTTTCCATTTGATTGATACTGAGAAAGGTATTTAAAGTCTTCAAAGGTCTCTAATAGCCAGAGAGTTGTGCATACATACACAATTCATCTGAAAAGCAAAAATTGCTAAAATGGATAAAAAATTTACCATCGAAACCATAAGGCTAGTGAAATAAACATAACAATGGATATTACTTCTCATTTAAATACAACATCATTGCATGCTCAAATCTAACAAAACATTCAATTAGACCAATTAATACATTATATATGTTAAGATGAGGAGGCTTGAATATGATAAGAATTAGCTCCACTAATATTTTAAAAATTCCTAGGAGAATAATGGAAGGTTGTAAGCATTTTGAGATGCAGATCAACTATGAATGCATGAGGCGCATCCCCTGCAAAAGGCTTTCAAAGATGATAACTCTTTATGGAACAGGAGCTACAGATGTAAGATGAACTTTGGCTCCTAAAGTCTGAAATATCATTGACAATTTAATGAACTACACTTGGTTTTTTGTGTGGTTCACAAAGGTCGAGCTTCTAGATGGAGAATTTTATCTTTCACCAAAATGAAGAGTAAAACACCTCTATCATGCGCTTGAGCAGGTTAAGGAAGTTTTCCAAAACAAAAAAAAAGCCAAAACTCAAAGATTGAGATCTCTCGTGTCTATTTTTCTTCAATTTAGCATTCTTAAGAAGAGCGCCGAAGAAATGAATGTAAGGATAGCCCTTCCTCCAGAGAGAAGGATGTAAGGGTCATCATCAAAGTTCAAAGAAAAATATTATTATGCTGAGCAACTTCTAGTTAGGTCAGAGATTCAAACACAAATATTCCACCATAAACAATCATATAAATACTCCAGATTTAATAAATGTCTCAAGCCTTCATCTGCAGGGAAATTATAATTTTGACAGTCATTTAAGTACAATTAAAATAAATCTACACAAGCATGAAAAAAAAAATTCTCCCAAAGAAAAGAAAAAAATAACAATCATTAATTTTAAATCACTTATAATAAACATAGGATGATAACATAATTTTTCTTTGTGTTGCGTTTATAGAATATCGTACTTGCATGAGAACGAGATGGCAGGTGCGCGGCCAGCCATTATCTGTGGTTGGAAATTGTGGTGGACACGATCATCATAACTTGGAAGTCTAAATTAGAAGGTGGCCCACTAACTCTGGCTCAGGAGAGCAGGTCTCCACAACCAAGAAAATTCGGCTTAACCCTTTAGGTGGTCTATGAACACTGATTAATTTTTATTAACAAAATTAACAAAACGAACTTTATTCTTTTGAATTATGCTTACCGTCTATAAACAATCATGCAGGCTTATTTAAAAGTAAAAGATGTTCTTTAGGGGAATAAAAAGTGCATACTGATCAACAAATAAACTTGAGCCCTTAATATTTCCATACAAAGCTAGCAACCTCTCAAAGCTACACATCTATGGATAACACAAAATAATCTACTGGACTAACAGAACATCTTAGAGAAACTTGCAAGGCATGAAATTAAGAAAATATATTCAAAGATTCCACATGATCCTTCGCTAGAAGCATCTAGTTATCTAGCATTCATGGTCAGATGGACCCCACCCAGGAACACTTTAAATATGGGTATTGCATACCTGATATGTACAACCATTTTTCTTCTTCAATATCCTTTCAAGTGCAGCTATGCCATCTTTACCATTGTAAACTTTCCGAAAGGTTAGTGAGAGAGTCCTGCTTTGTTTGGGCGATGGTTCTGAACGGCACAAGCGCAGTGCACTGCAGTCAGGCTGAGGCAGCCGCTAATAATGAGAGAATGCCTGTCAGGACAGGTGTGGAGTGCCGGGAAGGAGTCACACACTGCCTGAACAGCAGGAGGGGTGAGGGCAGTGCACTGGCTGATGTTGAGTTTCATCAGTCCATCTTCATCATTACTGCTTCCATGAATAGAGGCCCATGAACAGTGCTTGCTCTTCACACGGCTGTTGGCCAGTGAGTACATTGCTTTGTCAGTTATGTTCTGGCAGTAGTATAAGCCTAAGGATCTCAGTCCACAGCATCCATTTGCCAAAGCAATCACACTTTCATCTGCAATGGAGAAACAGCAGGTGAGTGTAAACTTCACATTAGCTGGAATAAAAAACGGCCCATAGATTAAGCTGATTTGCTCCTATTAGCAAAGTTTTCCATGCATTAAAATCACAAGGCATATCATCTCTGTGACAGAAACTAATACTATAACCTCAAATAAAAGAATTGTCATCCTAATTAATACGATTAGGAGGAGTTGAAAACTCTGGATAGATTAAACCTCAAAAAAATCATAGAGCTAGGTAATTAAGTTTGAGAAATTGGTGAAACAATATCGTAGAAACTCCTACGAAAACTTGGCATACCATGAAACAACTCACAAAGAACTCCAGATCGATGCAACGGAAGAAGAATTTTAAAAAAGTTAATGCATGTTCTTTTTGTTAAGGCCAAAATTTTACTTGTTAAAAAAGGGTGATTAAAGTTCAACAATGGACTGCTTATCATTCAAAGAGGTTTCAAGGTTATTGGTAATTGATTATGAAATCTATAGCCAATCATAAGACCATACGCTCATAATTCTATTCTGCAATATCAAAGATTTCCACCATCAACTGAACAACCGTTTCAACAACATCAGATACAGCTCAAATATCTTAGATAGTTCTTGACATCTTCATTCATTCTTTCATTAAGGCCCAAATTTAATTTGTTAAAAAAGAAATGTAGAATAAAATATAATATAATGTATTTAAAATATTTTAGAGTTATCTTGTTGAGTGAAATAAAAAAAGATCATTTTTTTGTACTTGATTTAAGGTAAAATTAATTCATTATAAAATCTAACACCAGTGCCGGAGACGGTGAGGCAAGCAACAACCAGTGGGTGGGCAGGGAGGTGGTTGTGACAGTGGCAATAGCAATAGAGGGAAAGCAACAGTGGTAGAAGTGATGGAAGGCGGCTGATTGTGGTGGTAAGCGACAAGAAGATGGTAACTGATAGGGGTGGTAATGGGTGAGAGAGGGCAAGCGGCGCTGGTAGTGCTGGTGGTGGAAGCAAACGACTAGCAGCGACTATGGCAAGTGGCCAGCGACAAGAAGAGTATCATATTTTCAATGAATTCGGAACTTATACGAGTGAATTTTAAATACATTGAAAATGAACCAAGTAAGGAAGTCCAAATACATCAATAAATTACTCCACATTGCTTTTTCATCCAAGCAAGCACGTGAAAAATCAAATCTCCTACATTAGTAATACTTTAAAAATGCAACAATCAAGCAGCCCCTAAAGAATCAAGGATTGCATATTGTTTTAACTTAAAGTTTAAAAATGATCACAAATTTTATGATTCGCAACTTCTTAACCATATTTATCTTAATTTACTTATCCTTCAAATTCCTTTCATAATATTTTATATTTTTGTTTATTAGTGCCACTTGCTCTCATTATACCTACCTGTATAATCCTAGTCTATTTTAATAATCTTATTGAAGTCTGTCTCATGGTTTAGAACTTATAATACAAATCTAACATGCAATCAAGAAAAACATCTAACTCGAGTGAAGTACTTTGAAATTGAAACTCTTCAAAATCAAGTTTTCATAATCTCTCCACAATTTTTAAATAAAACAAATGTTGGCATTGATAATAAAATTGATCATATTTCCTCTTAATGAATGATTGATTTGATTGATGGGTTTTAACAATAAATATGTCAACAATAAAAATTACAACATGTAGTTTCAACAGTGAAGATTGCTTTTAAAAAAAGACTACAAAATAAGATGAAAGATGATATTCTTCTAAGTTTATTGGTAATATATATTGAGAAGGATATTATAATGATTTTTTGAGCAAAAATAATGATCGATGATTTAGATGTAATGAAGAAACAATAGACACAATTTAAGATGCTTAACCAGAATAGATAGATTAAAAAGATTTTTTTTATTTATATGATATTATTTACACTTTTTCAATCTAATTATAGTTGTTCTAAAAGCCAAACTTCTAAATTTACTTTATTTAACAGGATTTTTGGTTTCAACAGCTCTTCTTTAAATCTTGGTTCCATCACTGTCTCCTAATAAAAAAATTGCAGGATATTATAACGATACATTGAGAGAAGAAAAAATTGTCATCTAAATTTAGAAAAATTTATATAAACAAAATATAGGATTTTTTTTTTTTTTTTGCATTTAGGTAGAAATAATGCAAAATTGTGACTAGTAGAAAACTAGACTGACTAAACATTTAAGCAAATGTGCTTCAAAAAATTATATTAGCATACCGCAATTACTTTGACACTGGTCCTTGCATCATACTTATTTAAGCATAAGGTATCATTAAGGTACTACAATAACAGCATCATCAAACCTTTATCCCACTATATTGAGTCGAAAATATGAATCATATTTCTCCATTGTGTCTTGTTAAAGTCAAATTCTCTTTAAAATCTAATAAAAATCATTTTTAATATTTTCTAGCCATGTCTTTTTAGGTCTACATCTACCTTTCTTAACATAGGTCAAATCTAATACATCTACTCTCCTAACCGGGTCGTCGGAATGCCAACATTTTATGTAACCAAACCATCTAAGGGAACTCTCTCTAATCTTATGTGCCACTAGCTCTAATCCAACCTTTTGACATATATACTCGTTTCACATTATGTCTCTAAGAATAAAGCCACTCATCCACCCGATCATCCTCATTTCTACAACACTTAACTTAATTTTATGCTTCTCTTTTAGTAGCCAACATTCTACGCCATCAAGCATTACAGATCTCGCCGCCATCTTATAGAATTTTCCCTCAAGTTTGGGGATACTTTTCTATCACAACAGGCTTGATGCATTCCTCCACTTCAACCATCCAACTTGAATTCTACTAATAATATCCCGCTCTAATTCACCATCACTTTGAAGAACAGTCCTAAGATATCAAAAATGTGTACTCTTTTAATAACGTAATCGTCCAATGTCATAATCCCCACACTAGATCTATTAATACTAAAATTACACTCCATATATTCGATTTTAGATCTACTCAAACAAAAACTTCTAAACTCTACGGTTTACCTCCATAATTCAAGTTTTCCTTCAACTCCTTTAGTTTTATGAAAAAGAAGAATATCATCAGCAAAATGCATACACCAGGGTACATTCTCTTGCAAATGTCTAGTAAGAACATACATGACTAAAGCAAAAAGATATGGGCTTAAAGCTGATCCTTGCTTTAATCCAACTAGACTAGGAAAATACTTAGTCAAATCGCCTTGTGTTTGAACACAAGTAACAATACCTACATACATATCTTTAATGACTTCAATATAAGCATCATTAACTACTTTCTTTTCTAGAGTTTTTCAAAGCACTTCTCTTGAAACTTTATCATGTGCTTTCTCTAAATCAATAATATCATATAAAGATCCTCCTTACTCTCAATATACTTCTCCATTAAACTTCTCAATAAATTTATAGCTTTCAATAAGCCAGATTTAAGGTAATAAGCCAAATATCACTCGAGCTAAGAGAAGAGGAGCAAATCTTATTATATATTAAATATCAAAAATAAAATGCAAGATCACTCATTAATCAATAATAACACTCATGCATAGATATAATGCACTGCTTCCATAAATCATCTTGGTGTTCGCCATTTACTTTGAAATTGGCCATTGTATCATATTTACTTGAGCAATCAGGCATCATAATGAAAGTAAACAAAACATCACTCGAAGCTAAGAGAAAAAAAGCTAACCTTAATATATATTAATATAAAATAAATGCAACATCTATCATTAAAATAATAAAAACACTCATGCCCAGATATAACATTATAAAAACTAGCTTCAACCAATACACTTAAAGCATTATACACCTTATATAGTAAAGAAATAGATCAATAATAAAAGATTTTCATTATTTTCATAGAAAAATAAGATCTCAATTAATAACAATTTCATTCTATATGCAAGGGTCAGTCAAATAATAAAACTAATAATAGAATAAAGGTACAGTAACTTAGAATGCCACAAACCCTACAAAACATTACATACCAATATAATCTATTTACGTCAAACATTATAAAAATATTCTTTGCTTTAAAACTATACACCAAAATTACATGCAAGAAGTTGCTTTAGTCTATGAAATAGATAACTTTCAATTAATATTGTCAGAAGATGAGAACATTTAAATATCAAGATCTATCATACAAATGAATGGAGGTAAATATGAAAATGTGGATGGTAGAGATAACATTAGGTAGTTAAATAGAAGAAACATCTCATAAATACCAAGTGATAAAACAATTTACCTGAGATTTAAAAGAAATTTTACAAAAAAACAATTTGACCAACTTGATATATAGATCGGAGGGTAGAGTATCAAAGAAAGTAGGCTTTGGAGCAACTCATCATTGCTTTTTTGTTCCTCCTTGGAGACTCGAGGCTCTGAGGCACAGAATAGCTAGTAAAAAAATATTTAGCATTGGTAAACTATTAAAGGGGAATCTTTCCACCTAATCAACGGACTTCATGCACATTGACAGAAATGGTGATTAGCGAATTGTACGTAGATGAGAGGAATGTTGCCAGTGAAATGTAGTGACTCCATTCAGAGAAAGCAGACAAAACGGAACCAGTGGTTGCCCACCTTGCAGCATGCATACTACAAGTAAATGCACATGATATTGTCCATGAGTGCATCAGTGTGTACTACTATGTAATTAGATGGATATTCCCTTGGTTGCACATACCCTTATCTAGGATAGAGAACGCCCTTGGAGGAGGTTGTCATGCTCTACATTGTGTTTTAAACAATAATGGATGTTATAGCAGAGATAGAATTGAGGTAAAGTTTGTGGGCTTTACAACTTCTTTAGAGCATTAGAGTCTCCATGTGTGTATAGAGAGAGAGAGAGAGACTCAAGTTCTAAAGCAAACAAGTAAGCATACTGCATTGTCTAAAAAAGGCCAACAAAACTACAGAAATAAAAGTAGCAGATCATAAATGATAGCATTCCTACAAGAAGAATCATGATACTTCGTTGGCATTGGTTTGAGGCATCATGCAGACATAATTTAGTACCATTAGCCTTTCCAGTGTGTCTTTTTGTTTTTTTTTTTTTTTTTGCCTCTCCAGTGTATCTTATGAGTTATTTGTTCATCTAGTTAGGTTGATAAAGTATCATTCTCATTTGTTTGAGTCTTAGAAAATAAAAAATAAATGCATTGCATCTTGTTGCTTCCCTAACACTTCCCATGGCAAAACGTGCAGGAAACAAGGGAGCTCAGGCATGCTGTAGAATTGCACCCAACAATAAAAGCTCAGTCATAATTTGTAAGCAAAATACAAGCCCATGCAAGAGTATCGCTTATCTTCAGAAGAAATTTCAGAAAATAAATTGACATAATAAGGGAGAACAAAGGATTACAGATTAATAACAGCATAGAGGATAGAATAGTAACGTTATGGAAGGATCGGAATAAATGGAAAATAGCAACAAAATACATAAAAAATACAAAAACATGAATAATTCATCCAATGCACTGAAAATCAAAATTCCATATACTTCTAAAGAGAAATACCAGTTATAAGGACACAGCCGCACAAATCAATGGCTCTGAGATCCGGGCAACCTAATGCCAAACAGATCACTCCTTTATCAGTAACACCTTCACACCAGCCAAGGATTAGCGACTGCAACTGCCTACAGTTGTATGCAATTGCCTGCATTCAGAAGGGTCTCAATCAATGCTCTATAATCATTTAAGGCAAAGCATTAAAGGGAGTTAGTTTTAGTCAAACATACCTGCAAAGCCCGATCAGATGCAGCTTTCACACATCCACAGAGATTCAGGTATTTCAGTTTTGTGCAGAAGCTTGTTAGATATGCCAGGGCAGAATCACTGAATGCTGTGCAACCACTGAAGTTGAGTCTTAAAAGCCTCGGACATCCATGTGCTAAAGCATACAATGAGATATCACTTAGTTTATGGCCTTTGCTGAGATCCAAATCACACAAATCATGACAATAATTTGCAATGGTCTGAACAGCATTATCCTCAAGTTGAGGTTTATTTTGCCGCAAACTTAGCACTTGAAGTTTTGTGAACTTAGGAGCAAGCGACAGGACAAGATCATTCATGTGTTCTTTGCACCTGCATTAGGAAGAAAGCCATATTTCAATAAAAATGATACACGTAAGGATGATGAAATTATTAGGAGCTTTAACAAAAATGAAAAGTAATACAATAAAGGAAGAAGCTAAGCAAATGAAAGCTACTACTAAGAACGGAAGCAGTTGTCCTCCACCTGTGGCTAGTTGGTGCATAAGCCCCCAATCCTAGAGGGCTTTGTGGGTGGTGCTTAGGACCCCATCTTAGAATTCATGGGTTTGAGTAAGGACATGTGCGTGTTTGAGAGTACTGTGCTTCAGCACTCTATGTTAAAATAAAAAGAAACCAGCTAAAAAGATGAATTTTCCTGCAGGCTCAAGTTATGCATTACCATTCCTATGTGTTTGGGCTAGCCGTCCAGGAATCATCATTAGTTTTGAGTAAAATTTTAAGAAATTGAAGAAAGAAGAGTTTGTTCTGGGAGGAAAAAAAAAAGCTTTCATCTCTGAGTTGTCATAACGTAGAATTCTTGTAAAAAAGTTCCCTTCTCGCATAGTCACTCCTACTCCAAGGCAGCCATAACTGTATTCCTACTCTTTACCTTTCTCTATTATTCCAATTAATTATTTGCATTAGCAAGACAAAATCAAGCATGGCTCCAGCAGGGCATGATTCTCTACTTTACAACAGATGAATGAACAGGGGAAGAAGATTGATGGCTGCTCTCAAGCCAGCATGATTGAAAAACAGGAGAAAGAAGTTGACTGATCCAATTGAGCATAATTCCAAACTTTTAAAAAAAAAACTGTTGAAAGAAGAGAGGTTATTGAGCTATACCATGACAAGCAGAGATGACTAAGCCCCAAGCAAATCGCATCTCTCCAACCAGTGCAGACACCTGATGCGACGATTACCATCCGATCATCACCAAGTACTAGAACCCTCAACAAAAGTTCCATCGGAAGGTCCTTCCACCCTGTTATGGCAGCCCCAGTTTCCATTTTGCCTCGGCCGTCGACAACCATAAGGCTCCTAAACCAAACATCCAAATTCCCAGTCAGAGGCCTCCCTCCAACCATTCTCCCACGTAACAGCCCCTATCAAACGACGAAGATTACACATGTTTAACATACCCAAAAACGTGAAAAACGCAGGCCAAAGGCATCCGAAACCCTAGAAATGTCGTACTCAACTATAAAAAATAAAAAAATTAAAAAAGAAAACTCGATGGAGCGATTAAAAACACCTACATCGTCCCGATGCACTTTATAAAAAAAATAAAAATCCCAAAAAAGCGCCTTACAGCGTCCAGAGACTAGAAACTCTAAGCGAAGAAATCAGCATATCAGAAAGAAAAATAACAAAAATAAAATTAAATAAACAGCAAAGAACTCAAAACACTCACCAGATAAATCGAAACCTGGGCCGAACTATAAATCGCAAAAGAAATCGAAAAGGGAAATGATGGATCACCTTTCGAAAGAAAAGGATAGCAAGAGAATCTCCCCAGAGGAGGAGAAAGGGGCAGCGTGTATGCGAGGGTTTAGCCTACCTTCCTCTCTCGCTCTCTCCCAACTGTTGAAAGTGTTTATATATATAGAGCAACAACGTCTTCAACTGGGAGATATGGATCGGAGCTGCGTGATGCTCGAGAAGACTCGAAGGAGAACAGAGTACGAAGAAGAGTAAAAGAGAAGCGTTGGCGGTAGAATAGACACGTGGAGGTCAGGGAATTGCAGCTGTGGGGAGAACCGGTGGGTCCTGGATGCCACGGCGAGACGGAAGAGATTGCGGGAAGGAATCGACCGTCCAGAATCGAGGCCGCGCGGCAATAGGCAAAATGGAAAGCAGGACGGACGCGTTGGAAAGCAAAGCGGTCAAATGTAACGGAAAGATAACTGCTCTAATAATTTTTTAACAAATTTAATAATCATATATTTATACATAAAATTTTCGTAAAAACTTATTTTCAGATATTATAATACAATATATATTGTGATACTAATACAATTAAAACATAATATGGAACACATATTAATATAATTTCAAAACTTTGATACATTTTGCAGAGTATTCTCAATTTTTTTCATTCATGACCATATGAGTTTTTTTTTTAAGTTGAGCGACGTAAATCAAAAAAAATATGAGGACTGCAATTAAGCAATAATTTAAAAAGAGTTAATTTGCTAAATCATTCAGTACACAACTCATCTTAATTTGTTGGTTGGGAGCAACCAATTCGAGTCTTGTGTATGTGATGTGTGTATGAATCTGTCTTAATTGGTAAACAACCTAAATGTCCCAAGAAAAAGCTAAATCATTTAGTGAAGTCTGTATTTGTAAAGAAAACGTCAAAATCCTTTGGCAAATTCTTCACACATCTGAAACTTTCGCCAAACCCTTTGGATTTTTCACTGATTACTCCAATCATTTTGGCGTCTTCTGCATGCTGCCTGCGATTCCATTTACACAAAGTTTGTGAGGCTAGTCGAGTCACTCTACGGGAGATTGGCAAGTGAGGGGAGCTGGACAAGATCTATTAAGGGATGATTAAATTGATTAATTTGTAATTACTATTTTTTGGGAAAATTTTGGGGCTAAGCCCTTTATATTAATGAAAACATGAAATTATAATAAAATAATATAAAACATCAAACATAAACAACAATTATAAGAGAGAGAAGGTCTGCGGGTTTCTAGAGAGAGAAGGTTTTGAATCTGGTGTTTTCGCGGTTTCCTTCGTCTCCGGCTATGGCGGCTACTGGCCGGCCGCCGTCTGATCCTCCGGATTGTCACCGATCTGTTGAATTTCAATCTTTGATTGTTCAATCTGTTCAATCGTCCTCTCCACAATTTTCCGTCAATGGCTCTAACGGCTGTTTGAACTCAAGATTGGGATCCAAACCTCTTACCATTATTAATGGATTTGGGTCTATTGCCCAGCATGATAATTCGATTCCCACGGGTGACAATAAAGGCAAAGGTGCGATTGATTTGCTTGATCGTATCCCGTACACTAACTCGGTTTCTAAGGGTATTTCTTTTGGATCCCTAGATCAAGAAGTGTTGAAATCTTCGGCTCGGATCTTCAATATACCGACCATTACCCTTGATGGTTTGTCTATTTGTGTTCCGGAGAAGAATTCTGTGAATGTTGGTGAACCAACTAAAATCTTGAATTCTACTGTTCCATTGGGTGTTTATAACTCTGATATTTCTGTGGAGGTCTAGGATAATCCGAAAAAACTCTTTTACCGATGCATGGAAAAAGCCAAATCATATCAAATTACATTTTGATATGAATTCAATTGAATTATCTTCAGATGGTGTGGCTGTAAAATTGAATTCGGAAAATGAGCTTGCAAACTCTAAGATCCTGGCGAATTATGTTGTTCTGAAGGTTTTGGGAAAACATATCCCGTTCTCAATATGCAGCATTGAACTCCGAAAACATTGGAGCCGTTTTGGGAATTTTCACTTGACTTCTTTAGGTCTGAATTGGATACTCTGTTCTTTCCAGTCTTTTGACGTGATGGAAGAAGTTCTTAGTGGGGGATCGTGGTACATTTGAGGCCACATTGTGGGTTTGGACAGATGGTCTTCATCCTTTTCGTCGTTGTCTCTAAAAGGCCTAACTACACCGGTTTTGATTCGGTTTCCGTTACTTCCACTTCATTGTTGGGATGAGATCAATATCGCCAAGATTGCTTCTAGAGTTGGCACCCCATTGTTCTTGGATGGAATTCTCTTAATTGGAGAAAGAAGGAATTTGCTCGTGTTTGTGTGCGTGTTGATCTTGAATCCAAATTGCCTTCTAGAATATGGGTTGACGGGATAGGAGGAAGATTTTTTCAAAAGGTAGAATATGAAAAGCTGTCTTCCTTTTGCTTTCACTGTGCCAGAATCGGACATTTAAAAGCTGATTGTCCGGATTATGTCTTCAAAGAGGCTGAGCCTAACATTGATCTGAATGATAAAGCCAACCAGGGTACTTCTCACAACAATGCTCAGGATAATTATGGACCGTGGATCCATGTAAAATTTAAAAAGAGGCCCAACTTAACAGGGAATCATATGGGACAAAAAATAAAGGAAAAGCAATTCGTTGCTAGGAATAATATTGCTAACAACACTTATGAGACCACTGTGAATAAGCAAATTAGCAGTGATAAAACTATGACAGTCAATAGTTCTGAAGATAACATTTGCCTATCCAATAGCTTCAATGTGTTGGTTGAAGCTGAAATGAATCAGATAACTGACAATGTACTAGCCATTTCTGATCCTGCTGGGACTATTGATAAGTCAGTTTTGATTGATGAGAGGGTTGATGCTACCTCTTTGGTTTTTGAAGCTTCTCAGGTTTGTCCTCAAAAACAGTTTCCTCATGATGATGCCAAGGATACTTCTATAGTTCCTTCCAGTAAGTTGCTGACTTCTAAGATTCCTCTGAATTCGGATCCTAAGGTTGGTAATGACACTATTGACGGTGCTGAGGCGAATCTTATGGCCTCTGACATTATCACTAAATTGAAACCCAAACCCCAATTAAAATTCCTGGGTCCCATTGAATCATCATCCAGGAAGAGGAAAGTTGATGGCAAAGGTAAGAAAAAAGGCGGGGACTTTTCCCCTTCTGTTTTTTAATGTCTTCCCTCATTTTTTGGAATTGTACAGGGGTAAAGAAGAAGGAGACCGCCCTCTACCTCAAGGAAATAGTGAAAGACAATGCTGTTTTCTTCATTGGTCTTGCTGAAACTAAATTATCTCTTATTGATAGGAAGTTGGTCAATAAGATTATTGGTAATGATTGTGATTTCTTTCATCAACCTGCTGTTGGTATAGCTGGTGGCATCCTTGTAATGTGGAAGAATAACTTGGTATCTTTTGTTTTTACTGCCCACTCTTCTCAGGTTGTTTTTGGTGTTTTGAAAACTCCTATGGGTGTGAACTGAAATGTAGCCACGGTTTATGGTCATAAGGAGTTGCAGGTACGGCGAGATCTCTGGCGAAGTCTTGAGCAGCTTATGACTGAGGAGATACCTACAATTGTAGGTGGTGATTTCAATTGTCTTCTCTCAAGGGAAGACAAAAGAGGTGGTAAAAGATTTTGTTTGTCTAAAGGCCCAAAAGAGATGAAGCTCTTTATGGCCAATCAGGATCTCCATGCTCTGAATGTGAGTGGTCCTAGATACACTTGGTGCAATAACAAGCAAGGTAATGCAAGAATTTGGGAGCGTCTTGACCGGTGTCTGTTGAACTCTGCAGCGCTTCTGCTTGTTCCAACCGCCATTGTCAAACATTTAGCGAGGGTTGCTTCTGACCACTGCCCCATTGTTTTCAAAATTTATAATAAGCAGCACAGTAAAGTCAAGACTTTTAGATTTAAAGATACTTGGAAATCTTATCCAGCCACCAGGAAGATAGTTTCCGATGCTTGAGGTAGGCATGACTTTGGTGATGAAGCTGATATCCTTAATAAGAAAATCAAGAGAGCACTTAAATCGCTCTTCTTCTGGAATAGGAACAAGTATAAGAAACTGGATCTACTCAAAGAAGATTTAAAGATTGACATTCTCAACCTTCAGTTACAAGAGGAAGCTGAAGGTGGTATAAATCCTGACATTCTTACTCTGTTACGTGGGAAGGTTAAGGAACTCAACACTACTTTGCTTAGGCTTTCCATGTGGTGGAATCAGCGGGCTAAGGCTGTTTGGAATGAGGAAGGTGACACCAATTGTAGATTTTATCACACTTATGCTTCGGCAAGGAAGAACGAAAATATGATCAGACAGATTAAAGATAGAAATAATGTGATGGTTGATGATGAAGTCCTCATTGAATCAGTTTTCTTAAATTTCTTTGAAGATAAATGGAAGCATCGTGATTGCAATAATTTAAATTGGCCTAATGCTAATCCAGAACAGAGAATCAATGCGATAGATAGAGCTTTTTTGGAAGCTGAGTATACTGAGGAAGAATTCACTGTTGTTGTTTTCCAACAGAGTTGTAACAAGTCTCCTGGACTTGATGGTTGTACTTCTTCCTTTTTAAAATTCTATTGGGATACCGTTAAAGTGGCTACCTGGAATGCTATTAAGAAGTTCCTCATCACTGGTTATATGCACTGTAATTGGAACGATACGTTGGTTGTCCTCATTCCCAAAATCAAACTATCGGTCTCTCCATCCAACTTTCGGCCCATCAGCCTCTGTCAAACCGTCTACAAATTTGCAACCACAATGCTGGTTAATAGACTCAAATGCTGTATTGATAAGATCATCTCGGCTGAGCAGGTGGCCTTCATCCCGGGACGGTCATTATCAGATCATTGCCTCTTGGCTTTGGAAATTTTCAACAAATTCAAGATCTCTAAGCATAAGAAGGGACTTATGGCTGTTAAACTCGATATGGCCCAAGCCTTTGATAGCATGAGTTGGGAGATTTTGAAGCTTGTTCTCAACTGGTTTGGCTTTCCTGAAAACTTCTCTCTCCTTGTTTTAGAATATGTTACTAACGTTCATTTCTCTATTCTTCTTAATGGTAAAAGTACTACATGGATTGAAGCCAAGAGTGGCTTTAGACAGGGTTGTCCGATGTCACCCTATATTTTCATTTTATGCTCTCAGCTCCTCACCAATGTCATCAATCAGAGAGGTCATCAGTTGGGTATCCAAACCTCTCCTAGAGCACCTAAAATAACTCATCTAATTTACGC